AAAAAGTCCAGCATGGTACTGTTACCAGACGGGCACCTGTCCCTAAGCGGGTCTGCCAAGGGCCCGCCAGTAGTGTGTGGGTTCTAGACTTGGTGAAGGAAAAACTTCACAACATGGGTCCAAGTGAGTATGAGGGTACATTTATTAAAGCTGGAGACAGCAAGGCAAGGAAGGGCTTAGAACAGAAGAAGCAATAGGAGAAACTGCTGTTGTAGGTGGGGCTGCTGTCAGTTCACTGGGAAGTCAGGATGAAAGGGGGCCTTGGAGAAGTTTCAGGGGTTAGCCCAGGGTGAGCTGCCACTGACCATTGCTCCCCTGGTTGCAAGTCTGTGGGGTCCTTTGGAGTTTAGGGGGAAGAGGAGGGGAGAGGAAATGGCACAGGCATGTTCCCCAGAGGGAGAGCTCACGCTGGGAGAGTTTCATCTCTCTCAAGTAGGTAGGAGTTTTCCGGGAGCTCTCAGGAGGTTTCAGCAAAATATTCATTAGTTTTCCAAGTATAGTTCCCCAGGGACGTGGTGTCTACTGATTGGTCAGCGTCAGAGCAGGGGAGTCATTATTGCAGCTGGCCCTGGCATCGCCCACCTCATTTTGCTGCTTTTCTGGGCCTGGAGCTAAAATACAACTGAGGCCTAGATATTACCTCCAAGGAGTTGACCTTCTGTATCTGGCTGTAAATTGCTCCGCCAGTTTGTTCAGCTATCTATCTCAGCTTCCCCATTCTACTTGCCGAGGAATTTTTCTAGCTTCTAACTATCCTGCCTCTGTACTGAGCTGGGAGTCCCAGGTCCAAATCCTGGCCACACCACTAACTTATATTATGAGCTCTGGGCCTTTTATTCTGACTATTCCAAATACTGCAGCCTCCAACAGTTGCCCCTGACACATGATTTTTGGCCGGGGCTAAAGAACTTGTTTTTCAATATGTAGGAAAAATGTAATTGGAGAGTCACTGAGACTTCAGTATGTCACTGAGCACTGATTGGAAAATAGTGCAACTTCATACTTCATGAGAAGTCTAGCACATGTTCTAAATTTCACAAACTACACTGAAACCAAGCAACTCTGGAACTCACCAACTTTTGTGTTGGTATGTTACTGTTCCCACATCCTTTGTTGATGACACAATGAATGTTTTTAAGTAGAGGTTGCTCTTTTTCTGAAGAGGGTTCATGTCACACATTTTCTTGAGAGCTCTGTCTAGGTTCTTTGATGCTTTGGGGCTGCTATCTCCTTCAGTCCCTCAAGTTTTGAGTTTTTAACTACAGTTTAAGGCCAGTAGGTTGATGATTCTTCAGTTTGGAAATTTCTTCTCATTTAACTGCCATTTTCTTGACTGAACACTAGTTAACATTCTGTGTTGTCACAGACTGAATGGCTTTGAGCTCCCTTCCTTTGTGTTCAGTAGGTCTTGGTTCTCCAAACCCCAGCTCATCTTGCATTCCTGTCTAAAGTTCAGAGTTAAGCCCTGGCAGAGTAGCTCTGTTAGTTAGAGTGTCATCCCAATACACCAAGGTTGCAGGTTCGATCCCCACTCGGCACACACAAGAATCAACCAATGAATGCATAAATAACTGGGAAAATAAACTGATGCCGCTCTCTCTCACTCGCTCTCTCTCCCTTCCTCTCTCTCTCTCTAGAAATCAATAAAATAAATATTTTTAAATAAAAAGTTCAGAATTAAAAAGAGACAGCTTGACAGTTCTCAGTAGGCTTGGAGACATCTAGGCCAGAGCAGGTGGGAAGGCTGCGGAAGACCTGTGGGCCTTGGAGGTTTTGCATATTTGCATTCCAAAACAATGTGATCCGTACACCCAGAGGAAAACAGCTGACAGCAATTACAAGCGCAGTTGCTGCCGTGAAGCCGCTCTCTCCCACAAGCAGGCAAAGCCAAGTTCAAGGTGCCTTCGTGTCTTTGCACAAATGCAGCATCTGTGCTTTGAATAAATCTGCTGGGGTGGCCCTTCCTTTAAACATTGTTTTCTTTGAAGAGTGTTGGATTTGCAACTAAAAACATTCAAAATCTGTTGATCTCAAGTCCAGTTTGAAGTTCAAAAGCTTTGTCTTGAAATAGCTTACGACGATGCTCTTCAAGTTTCCCCTAAATGTGTGTCCTCCTCAGCAGTTTTCTAACTCATAAGTCTAAAACATTCTTTTTCTAAGACAGTGGTTCTCAAACCTGGTCCTTGTCTCAGGATTCCTTTACAGTCTTAAAAACAATTGTCCTTGCCCTAGCCATTGTGGCTCAGTTGGAGCATCTTTCCCTGTACGGAAAACTCACAGGTTTGATTCCCAGTCAGGGCACGTGCCTGGGTTGTGGGTTTGGTCCCAGCTGGGGCGCTCACGGGAGGCAACTGATTGATGTTTCTCTCACACTGATCTCTCTCTCTCTCTCAAACTTCCTCTCCCTCTAAAAGCAGTACAACATATCCTTGGATGAGGATTAAAAATAAAAATAATTGGCCCTGGCTATGTGGCTCAGTTGGTTGGAACGTTGTCCCATACACCAAAAGGTTGTAGGCTCAATCCCAGGTCAGGGTACATACGGGAGGCAGCTGATTGATGTTTCTCTCTCCCTTCCTCTGTCTCTAAATGATCAATGGAAACATATCTTCAGGTGAGGATTAAAAATAATAATAATAGCCCTGGCCAGTCTGGCTCGTTTCTCTCTCCCTTCCTCTGTCTCTAAATGATCAATGGAAACATATCTTCAGGTGAGGATTAAAAATAATAATAATAGCCCTGGCCAGTCTGGCTCAGCAGTGGGAGCGTCAGCCCACAGACCAAAGAGTCATGGGTTCAATTCTGGTCAAGGGCATGTACCTCAGTTTTGGTTCGGTCCCCGGCTCTGGTCAGGGTCATGCAGGAGGCAACCAAAGGATATGTCTCTCTCACATTGATGTTTCTCTCTCTCTCTCACTCTCTCTCTTCCTCCCACTCTCTCTCAGGCCTTTTGAAGAGAAATGGGAAAATATCCTCAGGTAAGGGTTTAATAAATAAATAAATACATACATACATACATAAATAACCGAAGACCCTAGAGAGCTTTTATGTACCTTCTAATTCCTTTTAAAATAATAAAACCTTGTGATGTTAAATGAATATTTTTATGAAAAGTAACTAAAAATGTATTATTTTTCTGTGTGAGGAGAGGGACATGTTTACATTGTCAGAAATCTCTTAATGTCTGCCTTACTGGAAGACAGCTATATTCTCACACCTGTGTCTGTATTCATGCTGTTGTGACATCACAAGTCCCATAGCCTCTGGAAAATTCCATCATAACTTGTGAGAGAATTATAGTGAAAAAGAAATTTCACTTCTTACTATTATTATGAAAATAGTTTTGACCCCTCGGTGTGTGGGGGGGGGCTTGGAAACCCCAAACCATACTTTAAGAACCACTACCCTAAAATGGCAAGCCTTTTAAGTTTTGCATGCAGCTGCTTTTGATTCTATGCTTTCTTCTCTACGAAGCAGGACCATGTTCATTGATCTTCCTTCCCACATCCTTCCCTCTGAGCTCATTTTCTTCTGCCTGAATAATGAACTTGACTTTTCTTTTTTCCCTGCAGAGCCGCTGGTGATTATTCCCTCAGTCTTAGTTTGTCTGAAATGTCATTTCACCGTATTCACTGAATGTTAATTTCCTGATGCACTGAATTCTAGATTGGCTGTTCATTTTTTAATTTTTTTCTTTATTGATTTTAGAGAGAGAGGAAGGGAGGAGAGAGAGAAAGAAATATCGATGACAGAGAACATCAATTGGCCGCCTCCTGCATGCCCCCCACTGGGGATCGGGCCCACAACTTGGGCATGTGCCCTGACCGGAAATCGAACCAACAACCTCTTTGGTGTATGTGTCGACGCTCAACCACTGAGCAACACCGGCCAGGCTAGATTGGCAGTTATTTTAACATTTCTTTCTCTCTGTCTTCTTTAAGTTTTCTGTAGTTTCTAGGTATTAATTTACTTTCCTTTACCTGCCTGCTCAGTTTCCATAAGGCTTTTTGAACCTGTGGTGTGACTTTTTTTGTGTCATCACTTTTTGAAAATTCTCAGCCATTTTCTAATATTTCTGCCCCATCTCTCATTTTCTTCTAAGACTCCAATTACAAATCTGGTGGACTTCCTTGCTATATCCTCTCTCTGAATTCCTTTTGTCTCTGTGTTTCTGGTTTCTTCTAAGCTGTCTTCCAATTAACTAAGTCTTCAACTATCTGTTGCTAAACACATCTAATTTCTCTTTGGCTCTTTTTCAAATCAGGTAAGTGGGCTTTTTTGCTTGCTTGTTTGTTTCATTTGTTATAAGTTTCTGCTGAAATTTTCAGTCGTTTTTATTGCACATGGTGATCATGGTCGTTTTTAAAGCCTGTGTGTTAGGTCCAGTATCTGGAACCCCTGTGGAAGCCTTTATATTGGCTTTAGTAATATAAAGAATTACTATGCACAGAATCCAATGCATAAATATACGCAGAGCAAAAAGGTGGACAATACAAAGAGAAATGGCAAGAAAACAGCTGAGATGGGAGACTCAACTTATCAGGCTTTAACTTTAGCAAGTAAAGATGGTTCACTTTTGCAGGGCCGGTGTGGCTCAGTGAATTGGACTGAGATACCGGTTCGATTCCCAGTAATGGCACGTGCCCAGGTTACGGGCTCCATCCCCAGTAGGGGGCGTGCAGCCAATCAATATTTCTCCCATGGATGTTCCTCTCTCTCCCTTCTCTCTCTAAAAATCAATAAAAACATTGTGGGGGGGGGAAGATGGTTGCTTTTTCAGGTTGACCAAGTCGTCTGCTTTGTCCAGGCCCTTCCCGGTTTCAGCACTGTAAGTCCCCAGTCCGGGACAAATCCGGTTGGTTTATCACTGTATTATGACGCCATCAAAGTTCCTTCCCCTCCGCTTGGCCTCCTAGCCTGCAGCAATCGGGACGGCCGCTGGGGGCGCTCTGGTGCGCAGGCGCGTCCTGAGAAGCGCTCGGGCTCTGGGGCGCCGCCGCTCCTTCCGCCTTCCCGGCGGGCCCTGCGCGGCGCCTGCGCATTCAGTGACCTTTCCCTGTATTTGGCTGTGCGGGTCGGGTTGGCTTGAGCCGTTGGTCCTGCGGCGAGGTGAGTGGGGGAACCGGGGTCGGATGCCTGACGCGGGGCAGCCGAGACAGTGGGGGACGGGGCGGTGGCCAGCGGAGGCCCGGGCCGGATGTGTCCGCGGAGGGAGCCGGCGGCGAGCGGGACCCTCCCCAGGCCCCCCGCAGCCCCACCGCTGACCTTGGGGCCCCACCCCTCCCCCTGCCTGTGTGCTTTCCGGTCCCGGCCCCCGAAACTGGAGGAGGCGGCCCAGCGGTTAGGGTTAGTGGGAGGCCACCGCCTTCCTCCCCCTTCGGTGAGCGCCCGCGGCCGGCTGGAGTTCGACCACCGAGCCCGTGTCCTGGCCAAGAACCTGCCCCGCGTGTGGCACCTTCTGCTCCGCGTCCTTCCGCCCCCCGCCCCGACACGCTGGTCTCCAGGCCGCACTGTGCGGGTGCTGTGGGAGAGGGGAAGCGGTATTGTGGGGGCTCAGTGGCTCAGGCGCTTCTCGGGTGCGGTCGGGGAGCGCTTTGCTGCTCACTTGTCAAAGCCTTTGCAGACTGGCTCGGACACGGTGACACCCTTTGACCTCTGAGTGGGACGGGCCGCACAGAGCTGGGAGAAGCGGGTGAACAGGTGGACTCAGGCAGGGAAAGGAGGGAGCCTCGCGTTATCAGATTTGAGACCACGTCACTTGTCCAGCCAAGATGGGCGACTTTGGTCCGAAGGAAAGCCAGGGAGGGGAAGGCAAGGATTGCGGGATACCGGTCGCAGTCCGTGGGAAGGGTAGGTGAGAAACGGTGTTGGGGCACCTGGGCCCTGTTGCTGGGCGCACAGTGATCACGATTCGGGTTTCCTGGTGGAAGATCAGGGAAGATGAGGAGAAGCACAGTTCTGCCTAACCAGAGTGACAGGTGGAAGGAAGTCGGAGTGGGGATGAGGCTGCATCACCAAAGAAGTAAAGTATAGTTTTCAAGTGAAACAGAAGGACTGGGTCTCTGATTCCTGACAGTGGTTTGAATGTAGGCGATAGACCAGATGTTACAAAGCCTTTTTCCCCCTTCGGGAATCAAACCCGCAGCCTTTTTGGTGTATGGATGGACACTCCAACCAGCTGAGCCACCCTGCCAGGGCTGCTACAAAGCTTGTTAAAATGAAAGTGAGGGTGTCTCACTTAGAGTCTGTAGTAAGTTATAAACATCGAAAACATTACTTTGAGACCTGCACATAAAAGTGAACAGTGGCCCTGACCAGTTTGGCTCAGCGGTTAGAGCATTGGCCCGTGGACCAAAGAGACCCGGGTTCGACTCCAGCCAAGGGCTTGTGCCCTGGTTGCGGTTCTTCCCTGCCAGGTTGGAGTCATACCGGGAGGCAACCAACCTATGTCTTTCCCACATCGATATTTCTTTCTCTCTTCCTCCCCCTCCCCCTCCTGCTCTATCTGAAGATAAATGGGAAAATATCCTTGGGTGAGGATTTTTTTAAAAAGTGAACTGTGTAAGTTCAGAAATTGATGGCTTTTACCAATCAAATCCAATAATTAAATATTTTTGTTCATGAAATAACTGATGTCATAATTGCAACTCTTAGGAAGTGGCCTTGTCCTCTTAAGCTGTCTGCTTTGTATTTAGCAATAGATTTCAAGACTGAGGTGCATGTAAAACATCGTGACTGTAGTTAATAACAGTGTACTAAATAGTATAATTGAAACGTACGCTTTAAATATCTTACAATTTTGCCTGGCTGGTGTGGCTCAGTGGATGATAATCGACCCATGCACCAAGAGGCTGCCTGTTCAATTCCCGATCAGGGCACATGCCCAGGACGTGGGCCCAATCCCCAGTGGGGGGCATGCAGGAGGCGGCCAATTGATGTTCTCTCTCATCGATGTTTCTATCTCTCTCTCCCTTTCTCTTTCTCTCTCTCTCAAACCAATAAAGAAAAAATAAATAAATAAATGTCTTACAATTTTATATGTCAGTTAAACCTCAACGCAGCTGAAATTTAAAAAGAAAGAAAGCACTGATATACTGCTGATCACTGTATGCCCGAGCCTGGGTGTTAGTCTCACAGGAAATCACTGTCCCATGACATGTTCTTTTTCAGCTTTAAATGCCAACAGTTCTTTTTTTTTTTTTTTTTCATCCTCACCCGAGGATATTTCTCCATTTTTTTGTTCTGGTAGAGTGGGAGGGAGAGAGAGAGAGACATCAATGTGAAAGGGACACATCGAGTGGCTGCCACCTGCACGACCAACCAGGGCCGGGGACAAACTGCAACCGAGGTACACGCCCTTAGCAGGAACCGAACCCAAGTCTCTCTGGACCGCAGGCCGACGCTCTAACCGCTGAGCAAAACCGGCCAGGGCGAAATGCCAGTAGTTCTTAGCATGATGGAGCAAACATACTAGTTCTCTTTTTTTTTTTTTTTTGGTACGTGCCCCTAGCAGAACCAAACCCAGGACTCTCTGGTCCACAGGCCAACACTCAAACCACTGAGCCAAACCGGCCAGGGCGTAGTTCTCAATTTTAAAGGTGTTAAAAGTGCTGTGTGACTTGGGGCACGCCATTAGTGGAAGGCAGCCCTTGGGGGGACATTGGATGACACTGCAGGATGACACAGGCTTGAGGAATGAGAGGTGACTGGGTGCTGCATTGGCCAAGGTCGGGGCATTGGGGGGAGAATGCAGCTCAGAGCAGGAGCTCCTGTTCGGGGGAGAGGGGAGCACAACTGGCATCAGAGAAGATCTCTGATGAGTAGTTGTGGGAAATAGAGTGAACTTAATGAATAGATGGAAATCTCTTGCTAGTTCGGTTTGAAACTATGATCATATTAATATTATCACTCCATTCCTTTCCAGATGTTTCAGAGCCTCGTTAAAAATGTTTGGGTCCCCATGAAGCCCTACTACACCCAGGTTTACCAGGAGATCTGGGTAGGAATGGGGCTGATGAGCGTCATCATTTACAAAATCAGGAGTGCTGGTAAGTTTCTTCATGCTTGATCCATTAGAGATCAGGAAGAGAATTACTTTCAAAAGGAATTGCAGTTCATGTTGTAAAGGACTGTGATTCTTATCTAGGAATGGCCATCAGAACTCCAGAGGGCCTCCGTTAAAGTGTGGGAGCACACATCAGCCACGAGATGTGTGGGGACCATTGGAGAAATTTGAATAAGACCTGGATGTCAGGGAATTGTGAATTTTCTTAGGTGTGACAGTGGCATTTTGAATGCATAGGAGGTAGCCTTAGTTTTCTTTCTGAGTGTTTGAAATATTTTCATACTACAAGTTATGGCTCGGTAACCATTTGGTTCTCAGTGGAGCAGAGATGGGGCCCAATCATGAATTAATAAACGATTGGTTAAAAAGAGGAAAGGAAAAAACTTTAAATGCAAGACTGGCGTTTAGGGTGCGGTAGGGAGTCGAGCCCTACAAATGCGGGAGGACTGTTTAACCGCTCATAGAGCGTCTGTGGTAGGGGTTTTACCATCTCTTGGCCATGACACATAGTAGCTCCTGTTTTCTGGCAGCTTCCTTTATCAGCTTGACCCAAACTGAACTTTCCAGCCAAATGCTGATTTCCACTGTGGATCGACTAAATGCTATTTGTAAAGCATTGATATAACCAACTTTTCTTTCTTTTAATTTCAGATAAAAGAGCTAAAGCAAAAGGTGAGATTCTTGCTTTTTAAGTGGGTGGGGAATGAAAACACCATGAGACCGATCGAGGACAGGGTATATCAATGCCCTGAATTGACGCTGACACACGGTTCAGTAAATGTAGATGAGATAGGGATGCTCCCAAACGTGAAGTTCTGCTTGTGGTCTGAATGTTAAAACCATTGCTCACCCCAGAGCCAAGAGAAACTCCTGTTTGTAGGCATGATAGAAAATGGATTAATTGGGCAGCTGATGCCACCAGTAGGGAAGCTGGTTAGCTGCACGAGCACACCGCCCTGTCACTGTGTTTGAGGGGAGCACCACGGGAATTTAGGCCCTGGTGCTGGATGGGTCTTCACTTTGCTTCCCAAGGGACAGTGAAACTAGTCATTTGTGCCCTGCGCATCTAGGCTGTTCCTGACCTTTGTGGAGGAGACATTTCCCCGCCCCTTCACCTGTGCACCTGCAGCTGAGCTGCGTGCACACCCATCGACCGCACAAACCCTCAGGCTCCCTGGGAGGTCCATGTAGAAACGGCCCTCCGTGCTTCTCCATACCACTGAACATTGTTGACACTTTCTGCCTTGTGAGTGCTTACACTGTAAACTGCGTTCTGCTTGCTCTTCCTGAACTGTGTTTGTGTTGTGCTTCTTTCAAAAGCCCCGCGTCCTGCATCTGCCCACGGTCATCACTGATCAGCCGAACCTGCAGTGTACCACGGTGGCCTAGCTGTAAATCCCAGCTCTTTTAGACGGGAACATGGGACACACTGTATATTGTAGAAGTACCGTTTCCTTGCTGGCATGAATAAATGTATCTGTAAGACACCATGACCTGCTCGGTGTTCTCCCTTCACCCCCGTGTGCTCGTCGGACCCCGAGTGGATCGTTGTAACACAGCAGGTGCAGACTCACTGAGCCGGTCGTCCTTATGAAGACCAAGGAAATGAAGAGGCAACATCTCGGTTATCGTAGGAGTTGGGGTCAGAGCTAACACTCACAGGTCCGATGTTCAGTCTCAATAAATATGTGTTACACAGGTGATTCTCCTACTCCTGTGACCTCTGAGCCTCTGTTTTCTCTTGGAAAGTGGAGGTGATGATATGTAAGTTCTAGCCGTTATTGTGAGGACAATAAGAGAAGGTGTGGGAAAGCACTATATTGCAACTAAAATTCTTCCGAAATAAGGTCACCTTAGATCACATGGTGGGTGGGATTCTAAACTCTAGATTTCATCAGGAACTCATGTATAAGGCAAAGTACACAATATTTAAAAAGTCTTGATGTTTCTAGTTTGGTAAATATCGAATACTGCATAATATTTTTCTCTAAAGCAATGACCAAAACCCCTAGAAATGCATTTTAAAAAACAGTTCTAGCCCTGGCCGGTTTGGCTCAGCGGTTAGAGCGTCCACCTGCAGTCCGGAGAGACCCGGGTTCGGATCCCGCTAAGGGCGCGTACCTCGGTTGCAGTTTGTCCCCGGCCCTGGTTGGTCGTGCGGGTGGCAGCCACTCGATGTGTCCCTTTCACATCGATGTTTCCCTCTCTCTCTTCCTCTCTCTCCCTCCTACTCTATCTGTACAAAAAATGGAAAAATGTCCTTGGATGAGGATTAAAAAAATAATAATAAAAAATAAATTAAAAAAAAACAGTTCTATAGCAGTAAGCTTGGGGTAGCAGTGAGTCTAATTTGAAATCTGGTTCTTTGCAGGTAAGTAGTGATTGGCTGTGGGACATAGATGGTGGCCCGTGTCCTGGTCTCTGGCTGTGTTTCTTTTGTTTTTCTCTGTCTCCAGCATGTAGTGTCAGGTCTGACCCAGGGTCGGTGCCCCACAAATGACTGCCACTTCCTGTGCCTCCATTTCTTCCGTAAATGGGTCAAATGTACCTTATCAGACTTCCTGACTGCCTGCTGCTGGCTCCAGGAGGAGTGGCCCGAAAGCACTGGCCAGCCCCAGTAAGCGGAATCCCATCCCCTTTTCTCCCTAAGTGCTTGGCCTCCAGGCGTAAATTGCCGCTGTGGTTCAAAAGACCCACCTGGGCCCCCTGTTCTCATCCTGAGCTGGCATCAGAATAATATGAGGGGCTGTGAACAGGACGGCTGGGCTCCAGTCTTGCCCACTGTTGGTCTAAGTTCCCAAGACATGCTGACGCTCAGGGCCACTTGAAAAACAACTGATGAGCCCTGGCCAGTTTGGCTCAGCGGTTAGAGTGTTTGTCCGTTGACCGGAGAGTCCCAGGTTCCGTTCCCACTAGTAGTACCTCGGTTGCAGTTTGTCCTGGGCCCTGGTTGGGGTCCTGTGGGCGGCAACTACTCAATGTGTCTCACATCAATGTTTCTCTATTCCTCCCTCTCTCCCTCCTGCTCTATCTGAAAATAAAATGCAAAGATGTCCCCAGCTGAGGATAAAAAAAAAAAAAGACCACTGATGATACAAAGAACAGCATGGACGGGGCTTGTGCACCACTGCACCATCCACCACAGTCCCTGGGGCACCCAACACACTAGGTCCACTTCGGGGTAACTTCTGAGAACCAAGCAAGGTGGAGCTGCAGGCCCATGTACAGAGGAGGGGACAGGCCAGTGCTGGGCTAGGACTCGGACTCCGGAAGCCTGAACCCTTCTGGAGGGAGAAGGTGAGGACCAAGGGAGCAGCAGCCCTACACAGGGACAGAAGGGCTGGTGTGCAGGCCCTGGTGTCTGTTCCCTTATTACCTGTGGTTCCTTCAGTCATAACCACCTGGGTAAGTAAAACTATTACACACGCCTGTCCGCCACTGAACCCGTTGTCCGTGCTCGCCGTGTGCGGGGCAGGCCGAGGGCACTAAGCCAGGTGGAGGACCCTCGGAAAGGCTGGCTGGTAGGCAGATGCCTGGCCCAGTGCCGATTTGAGGTAGTGACAGGGCAACTGGAGGATGTCTGAGACAAACGCCACCCACCCCCCAACTTCAGCCAATGACCAGATCTGAAAGGAGCAAAGCGGGTGCCCTGCGACACCAACCAGTTCCTGTCCTCTGACCATCTCACACTTCCTCTTCCTCCTCCCGACACTTCACTCTCGTTCTTCACTCCAATTCCCTGACCATTTCCACTCCCCCTCCTCACACTCCCCTCCTCACGCCCCCCCTCCTCACACTCCCAGCTCCTTGGGCTTTGGGTACAACTGCCTTGTCCTGGGACGGCCTGCAGGGGGAGCCAGAGTGTGCCCCAAGCTGATTGTCAGGCAGCCTCCTGAGGGAGGGGACAGCCTGACCTGGTGACTGCCTGGAACTGCAGGGTGCTGGCATAGGGTCTGTTCAAAGCATTTGGGGGTGCTGAGGGATGCAAGGCCTTTACAGCAGCATGGCAGTCCCTCTACCACCTGCAGGACAGCAGCCCCTGGCCTGGGTGTCCAAGCCGGCTCTTTGTCCTGAAACCCACACTTCCTCCCCTCCTCTCGGAGGACCTGAGAGGCAAAGCAAAGAGAACACAGCCGCGCATCTAAGAGGTAACTTTAAACAACGTGCTTTAGCCCTGGCCGGTTCGGCTCAGCGGTTAGAGCGCCAGTCCACGGACCGGAGAATTTTGGGTTCGATTCCCACTAGGGGTACGTACCTCGGTTGCAGTTTGTCCCCGGCCCTGGTTGGGGTCGTGTGGGTGGCAACCACTCCATGTGTCTCTCTCACATCGATGTTTCTCTCTCTCTCTTCCTCCCTCTCTCCCTCCTGCTCTATCTGAAGCTAGATGCAAAAATGTCCTCAGGTGAGGATAAAAAAAAGAAAAAAATAAACAATGTACTTTAACTTGGCTTCAAGGGAGCCTTCTCATGCCCCAACTGGAGACCCTGGAGGGTGTGCCTTGCAGCACCCTCAGTGGGGTGGTGTTTCTGGAGCCTACAGGTTGCAGGTGCCCAGGCCAGGCGCCTGTCTGCATGTATCCACTTGACCTGCCCCCCAGCCTGTGAAGTCCTATGGCACCTGTTTCACAGATGAGAAGAGGAGGCCCAGACAAGATAATTGGCTGACACTAGAGGATAACTAGCTGGTGACAAACAAACTGACTTGAGTCAAGGCCAAAATTTGGTCACCTGCTCTAGGATGGGGCCCACGCGCATTGCACACGGGCTGTGGCAGTGAGGAGCGCAGTCCCTGTTTCGGAGCTGAGTCTAGAGGACTGGCTGTGAACCTGTCCCCACAGTGCTGGCAGCACACGCCACAGGGGAGTCTGCGCCTGTTGCCCTTGGGATACTCCCCCAATTTGCCACCCACCCACGAATCGGGCCACCACCCCTGCCCTTGCCAGCACCTCCATCAGGTGGCTCTGGAACATACGATGGACCTAGCAGTGCCCTGAAGTATCCAGGAGACTGGCAGGAGGCGTGCCACCACCCCACCAAGGGCCGCCCGGGGACGGCCTCACGCTGTGCACAAGGGCAGGACCGGGCGCAGGCACTGCTGGGAGGGTGGGCTGTCTCTCCTTTGACAGGGCAGAAAGGAGCCTCGTGTTCGCAGCTCCTTCCACGCCTGAACCGAGGAGCTTTCCCAGTGAGACCAGCACCAAGGCCTCCCATGCACCACCCAGGCCTGAGAGGTGACAACATTCACCCCGTGTGTGGAGGCAACCCTGGCCACGGAGCCTCTGCCCACCATCTGAGGCAATGTCCCCCAGTCCTGGGCATCCCCCCCAAACAAGACCCCCTCCCACAGGACAGCTCTGCCCCACCTGCAGGAAGGAAGCCAGCTGGGGCTCCCAGCACAGACCCTTCCGGACCCCGAGCACCTGCCAGCCAGTGTAGTCAGGGCCGCAGCAGCCAGTGCCGGGCAGGGCCCAGGGCCTGTGCTTTCAGGAGCCCTCCAGGGTTCTGATCACCGCCAAGTGCAAGGCCCGGAAGAGCCTGCCCTTCCAGGAAGCCTGGAGCAAGCCTTGCGCCAAGCAGTGCATCAGCCCTGGGCCGCGAGCCTTCGAAGAGAAACCGCTCCCTCCGTCGCACTTCACCAGGAAACCACCTCCGAACCGGCCACGTGCCTTCGCCTGCCCCTGACGGAGGCTGGGAGCCTTCAAGGAGCCCCACCCCCACATGCTTGCGGTCACAGCAGGGAGCCTGGGTTGTGTCAACTCCCCTCGAGCCTCCATGTCCACCAGCAGGCTGGCCTTGCCCTTTGACTTCCAGCCCTGCTGAAGCTGGGCATGGAGCTGGGCGTCAGGGGTCCTGCCTTCCTGCCCGGTGCCATTCCCTCTCTCCAGGAAACAGACCCTCTTCCAATCCCTACTGGTGGGCAAATGAAAAGGTAACTAGTATCAGCACTAACCAGAACACCCCTATGGCCCTCTCCCCTGGCTGTCCCTGCAGTCACCAGGCCCCTGGCACAGGAGGGTCACTTTCTTTAGGAGCCAGGCTTCTCGGCACCCGCCTCCCACCTGCCTGCCAACCAACAGCCAGGTCCCAGCATCCCAGCCTGTGAGCCAGTGCGCGGTGGCCTGTTTGCCAGAATATGGACCTTTGACCCACACTAGGTGCCCCACACAGAGCCACCCTGTCTTGTGCATGTGACGCCCGGACTCCGCTGCTGCCCCCCTGTTTCCCGGCTCTGCCTGTGAACCGAGGCAGGTGGGAAGAAGAGTGTACCCCAGTTCCACAGACGCCCACCCCGCGGTTCTACTCCGCCCGCCTGTCCTCTCACCCCGACCCAGGCAGGACTGAGGGTCCCCACGGAACCTGAGGAAGGCAAGGGGGTGCTGGCCTCCCAGGGCCCAGAGCTGGTCTGAGAGATGGAGGTTCTCTGCCCACCTCAGGGCCTCTGACCTCCCCTGCCGGCGCTCCTCTCCCTGGTGCCTGCCCCTCTGTCCCTG